AGAAAACATCAACAGACCAAAAGGGCTTTGGGAAACCACCTTTTAGCCCCTCCTAGACAATGTCCCCTTTGTCTCTGTCCATCCTTCCTCCCTCATCCATATGGACACTCACCACTTCTTTTCGGGACTACTGCAATTACTTTCTGCCTGGTCTTGCTGTCCCATGGTCTCCCTCTCTGGCCCTCTTTTGTGTGCCATTAGATTGAGATTCTTCTGGCACAGATCTCATCCCACTAGATTAAACCTTGATCCCTTACCCTGGCATTCAACACCCTCCTGACCTAGCCTACCCTTGTCTCTCCCTCCACCTTTTCCCACCAATGGACCCAGCCAGCTCTCAAATTATTTCTAACTGTATCTTATTTCCTTTGTATACTTTTATTCATACTATTTCTCACACCTTCACGAAGTTTCTTAACTCTTACCTTTTGAAATATTATGCATCTTTCAAAAAATACTCAAACACTACTTTGTATATAAGCTCTAATAATTCATCTCTATGCCCTCCAAGTTAATCTTTCCCTTGGTCTAGTACTTAATGCATTATATATTATTGTGGTATGTCTGTCATTCTGCGGTAGAGGTTTGGCTTTGATCAACTTTTATATTGTCTATCTATAATGATTGTATGAATTATTTGCTCCCTCTCCTCCTCAGCAAATTTTATATCCTATTTTCCTTAGATTTCAGAAGCCATAAAATAATAATGCCAACTTCCTATCACCCACCTACAAAGTACTTACATTGTGTGCCCTCCCTTGCTGCCCAAAATGAATCATTTTCCTAGCTCTGAGTTTCACCCTCTCAGCCCTACCAAGAGCCCTACTCCAGGAATATTTCCTATCTCCTCTAAATTTATGATCTCTGCTTTTCCTCTGATTCCTCAGATCAGGGGAGACTAGCTAAAAAATGTTTACATAAATTATTCTCAAGCTAAACCAGTTGTGTTGATAGGCCCTCGAGAGTAGAACCCCTCAAGCATAGGAAGAAAATGAATTATAAACACACAGTAATCAGGCAAGAGAACATTTCATGCACTCCTCAATGAGAAAAGAAGACTGAGCTTTGACTGACTGAGATGATCCTGCTCACTGTCAGCCCTGCTCTCCTTTGAGATGTTCCTGATTGATAGATAACTGGTTAACTCCACCTGGCCTCTGATCAAAGCAACACTGTACAGTGGTAGCCGCACGGACCTCTCACTCCAGGCAGCATACATTTTCAAGTCCGTGATCATCTTTCAGTTTCTTAAGTTTGCCAATGTCTCTCCTGCCTTTAAATTTCTGAGTAGGCTACCTGCTGCCTGAAGCTCTCTGCCTCTCTTTTCCTTCCCTCTGCACAGGCCCATCAAAACTGACTTTCTTCTTCAGTTTTCAGCATAGATATCACCACTTGTCTCTACGATATCCTAAATTCTCTCATGACTTACACTTTCCACTTGTTCTTGGTGTCAGTTCTCCCACACTGTATTACAAACACTGTAAGGACAGAGATGATGTCTGTCTTGTTTGTCATTATGTTCTCAGCACCTGCCAGATGGAAGACACTCAGAAAATTGTGGAACAAATTAATGAATGAGCTATATAAAAACTATCTCATGGTTACAGAGGCTCTAGGGCAAAAAGCTTAGCAGAACCACCCAAAGATCTTATTTAACCTATTTAACAGTCCTCAAGACTTTTTCTTTCTTTCTTTCTTTCTTTCTTTCTTTTTTTTTTTTTTTTTTTTTTTTTTTTTTTTTTTTTTTTTTTTTTTTTTTTTTTTTTTTTTTTTTTTGCAGTACTAGAGATTGAACTCCAGATCTTGAACTTCAGGCACAGTCCTGAACACCTTCTTCAACTATACTCCTCATATTTAGACTTAGATTTATTGGGATTAAAAGGGAGTACAGGGACCCAGGTACACTGTGTGTCCCTCACAATAGTCCAGATACTGGCATAGGGTGTGGGGCGCAATGCTAGTAATTAATATGGGAAGAATGATCATGAGTCATTCAGAAAAGCCAGCTCGTAACTTCCACACATCTTTTCTGGACAACTCTGAGAACCACCTCTCTAGGTACATCATTCCTACGTCCTGTAATATTCTCCAGGTCATCAGCTCTCAGAGGCCTGGTCTTTCAACCAATCACAGTCTCTGGGCTTCACAGGTGGGTGGCTATTTTTCTCATTAAAACTTTAACATTAATTTTGCCTGCCGCAGAGGCCTTCGATCTTTTAACATACTCATCTATTCTAATCGAAGGTAGACTCTGGTGTTGATACAATAGGAAGGCAAAGTTATTTCTAACAAGCCACAGTAAATGTTGCCATTGTTAGTACAGAACATCATTTGCATCACTAACTTAAAATCAGGGTCCTTAGACACAATTTTTGGAAAAAACCTTTTCATACCTTGCCCACAGAGTCCATATCACAAATTTCCCATAACCTCTTGTCTACACCCATTAGTCTTACTAAAAAGGAAAGGAGAGGATGCTGTAGAGATAGAGATGAGGGGGAAAAGTAAATGTGCTTGTATTCCATTCTTTGAGCTATAAATTCCTCCAGACAGGAAGCAGTTGTAATGTTATCCCTAAGGGTCCTTCCTGTATACAGCCAACAGTCAAAGCAATTTTCTGATCAGATTTATTCAGGACTGACATGGATAGAAATGGTTAAGTTGTTCAAGAATGTTGTAATTTTTAAATGAAATGATTTCTGGAGAAGTAGCAGTGTTTAAAGACTAAAACACACCACATTTTAATCACAAATAGGCCTGACATAGAGGAATTCAAGGGGAAATGTGACCACAAAAAATACAAGTGGGCCCTCAGGGAGGTCACTTTTATTAGAGAAAGAAGCTCTTTCTGAGGGATCCACACCTACTGGATGCCCAGAGATTTAGGAGGAAAGACAAAGGTAGCCAAGGGGATTAAAACCGAAGTCATGACTTAGAGTTGTGTGAGGTAGGCAAATTCCATAATCTCTCTTGACTTCTGTTTCCTATTCTGAACAATGGTACCATCTATCTTGCAAGATTAGAAAGATTAGGCATGCCGACAGTAACAATAAAAAAACTGTGAATGGTACTTTTATATGAAAATGTTTTCTACCAGCACTTTCTATTTCCCCAGGAATCCTTGGAGGGAGTTTATTTTTCAGTTCTATTGTTACGCAGGTGCCTCTTGAAATTGGATTAGGGAACTATTCACATGCTTTTCTCTTACGATGCTGCTGATGTTACTTAGACTGGCTTAAATCCCCCGAAATGTGATCACAAGTGAGCACTCAGAAACATTTCAAAGTTCCTAAACTTAAAGTCTAATATTTTTTTACTCCTGAGTTGAATTTTCCCCCGCTAATTTTCACTTGTTTCTCTCAAAACTGAGATACGACTGGTGTCCTCATGGGGCAGGAGACGCCATTCCCAGGTTTAATCTGTTAACTCTTACCCACTAAGGGTAGAGATAATTCTTTTTCCCTGTCCTCCATAGCACATGCCCTCCCAGGATTCCCAACTCTTCATTGCAAGGATCCGGTGTGCTGCAACAAAAGGGGCTCAAGGTGTCTCCAAGAACAAGAATAGCTGAGCATTGAGCCATCTTTTACACTAGGAGGAAAGCCTCTGAAACATGAGACTATACCCAAGACCCAGGGAGAAGTTACCAGAGCCTAACCCAGCCCAAAAAAGCCATAAAAGCTAGTCCCACTCTTCCATGAAAGGCTGATCTTCTCCAGCGGACCTGTGTCCCCTTCAGCTCTTCTCCACTTCAAGTTGAAGCCCCTTTTACATTTTCTGTCCTTTCTCAATTATTTTGCTTGTAAATCTGCGCTGCTGCATCCAGTTTAATTTCTATTATCATTGAAGCAAATTGCCACACAGGTCTTGTATCAAAACTATTACTTAAATAACTTTTTGTTGAACAGAGAATCTTTCCAAGGATGTATATTTTACTGGTAGAAATGAATGGTTCTCATACTCTTAAATCTCCTAATACAGTGACTTTCCTTTCTTTGGACAACCCTCAAAGAATCTATTAAAATTTTTCTAATAGAGAAATTGCCAAAACAAAGTCCTGACTTTTCAAATTGTGTCTAGTGTGGCTTAGTCTGAAACAATTTATCTTTAATTACCTTGTAATACTGAAGTTCTTGGGAGAAGCTACATCTATGTTAAAGATCCCACAATCTGCTTCACCTCCATTGAGAAGAACACTCAAATTCTGGAAAGATGAAATTTTGTATGTCCAAAGCCAAATTGTCTGGAGCTATCTTAGGCTCTTTAGAAAAATAGCCATATGTTTTTAACTTTTGTGTCCAACCTAACATTCTTAGGGCTATTAGGTAATCTCTCAGAATATATTGTTGAACTTAGCAGACCTCTAGCCTCCCCCAATTTTAGAATGAAGAATGCTATGTCCTCTGAAATCTATAGATAAGATTTTCCCACTTTGCTATAGTTTGCTTACCAATGTTTTCACCAATCTGTTTGTTGTATGTTGATTTATGACTTTCTTTAGTCTGTAGCTATAAAAATTCACCTACTCTCCTCCACTTTGAAGCATGTCATTTAATTAAATTTAATTAAATTTGTAAATTTAAATCCATATATCCAGGCCATGATCATTCATATCTGACTCAGAATAAACCATTTATTTTCTTTAAAACAGAATTGTTATTTTATACTGACAAGTCTTACTGTTAAAAACAAAAAGTCTAGCTAAAGGTTTGAATGAACAACATAGTACCACCACAGGTCCAACATCTTCATCACACACACACACACACACACAGAGCCCACATTATTGCTATAAAAGAAAAATGCAGTATACTGAAGCTAATGTGGCAGGCTCCTAATTAATGATTAAAACTCATTGGAGCTAAGGTGCTGTTCTCCCAATAGGCACTATTTTTAAAATATTTCTCTTTGAAAACAACAGCATGATTAATCTCATCATTCCTACCTAAATTACTTGAGTAGAAATGACAATGCACTATGGGCAATTATTAAAAACACTTTATTATATATAATTTACACATGCTTCAATTCATATTGCTTAGGGTGATTTATTTTCCAGGTTGTGATGTCATCTACCAAGTTTAACTAGATCTAATTTTCATTCTGCCATGCCACGTACAAAAATACAATTTTCAAAGCAAATTTCCTCTTCTTTACACAAAGGTACACAAGAGTTCATCAGACAAATAAAACAAGAAAAGAATACTTTGCACACATATCAACACCGTACATGGCATTACCCTTCACACAGTAATGTCAAATGTGTTCTTTTATTTTTGAAACAGCAAGGAAATAGCCCCCTTCATCCTCAGAGGAAAATGCAAACTTTATTTGTTGCTAAAGCCAAACTCCAAGATGAAGGTGTGACCCTCTCGGGGTAAGTGGGGGTTGGGGTGTGGAGGAGAATGTAAGCCCTTTCATAAGCACTTCAAGAGGAAGGAATTGCAGGAGGTTCCTCGGGGACAGTCACACAGCTTCCCAATCCTGGCTCCTTTTCGCACCGCGCATTGTTCTCCAGCATCGCACTGCAAACAACACAACGTGGTCACTGGAGTCCCAGCAGGCAAATGCATGTGGGACTCAACGGGTGAGTCTCCACCAACCAATGTCTGCCTCTCAAGAGGAACAACTAGACCCCTCGCCATCAGCACAGGTCTCAGTATAGTCAGGCTTGGAACACAGAGCAACTTGTGCTCATAGTTCCTGTGAGAGGATATTTTTACAGAGAAATTTAAACACTTGGTCTCCTTCTACAGATCTTTCTTCCATTAGTCTGAGGGATCATATTTCCTGTCTCTTTTTCTTGCATACCAAAGGGAAATTTTTCATGTAGACCTTTTTTTCGTAAGAAATAAACAATATACTTGTGCCTTCTCACAATCTTTGTTCCTTGCTTCTCTACCTCCCCATCCTATCTCAAGAAGGTAGAAGTGTGTGTGCGTATGTGTGTGTGTGTACGTGTGTGTGTGTGTTGTCCTTTACCCAGAACTATCCAAGAAAAGTGATGAATTTTTGATCCCAGAACTTGGGTTTTGTTTTTTTTGTTTTGTTTTGTTTTGTTTTTTGTTTTTTAAGCACTGGCTGTGCTCTGGAAGACAGGAAGAAGTTAGGGGAGCAAGAACTTAGTAGATCAAAGGGCTCTTCCAACTCAGAAAATTCCTCTTAAGGTGAAACAAAAAGCTTGTCCTCAGGAAATACTCTTTCTTACACAGATTATAGAACCAGTTTCTGGCACAGCTGTTCAATCCTCCAACGTGACCCGGTGCTCCTTTTCCCTAGGAGACCAAGGGACAAGAACTGCCCCTGAAAACAAAGGGGCCCAGGAAAACAATGCATGCTCATTACCTGAGTTACTGGACCACATCCTGGTGTAAGGGCCATGTATACGGTTCAAGGAGTGCATTCTCTTTTAACATGGGAAAGGGGTAACACCAAAGTCTTACCATGGGAACTTGGCCATACTTCTTCTCGTAGATTGGAATACGTTTACTCTTGAGCTTCTTCAGGACTTCCTGCAGCGCTTCAATCTGCAATACACCGCCCGGGAGCCCGAAGTTGCCGCCTTGGCTTCCCGCCCAGCCCTAGTTAGAAACCCGAGACCCACACTCCGCTCTGGGACGCCACGAGCAAAAGGGATGTTCTTCTGCAAAGCTTCGCGAGCGCTGTCCCAGGTCCTGACCTCGGATCCCGGGGCCACCGAGGCTGGCGCTGCTCTGCGCAGCTCGACAGACACCCGGAGCCTGAGACGCCAGGCTATCTTTGGATGGCATACGGTGCCCAGGCTTTGCCCCCAGCTCCCCGTGCTCCAACCCTGGGAATGTGGCTGGGAAGAAGGGACGCTTACAAAGCAAGGGACCGCGTGGCAAACCAAGGGACTGTGGGGTGATGGGGATACCGACCAGCTCCTTCTCGTGGGAGGCATCCTCCACGGCAGAGTAGATGTCCAGGGCTCGGGGCTGGAGCTCAGCGTCCTCCTGTGCACGAGCGCCCAGCAGAGGTAGCATCAGGAGCAGGGCAGCGCCTAGGAGGGGCAGCAGCCGAAGGCGGGAGCTCTCCATGGTGCTGAAGCCCGTCGCTGCTAGGGCACCCCGCTCTCCCACCTTTTATAGCGAGTCCGGGAGCAGGGAAGAGGGAGGGGGCGAGAAAGGAAGGGGGTGTGGAGGAGGGCCCGGGTCAGCCTTCTGTAGGCAGAGCTCCGCCGCCGCTTGACGTCAATGCCCGCCGGGCTCCAGGCACCCGGGAACGAGGCTCTGCGCACAGATGGGCGAGAGCGCAGAGACGAGACCCCGTGCCCCCAACGCTGTCAGCCCGCGGCGAAGGACGCTCCCCGAGGGCTCTGAGCTGAAGCTGTGGGGTGAGGGCTGAGGTCTGGGGAGCGGAAAGGGCCCAGGAAATGGAAAATGCCTTCGGGGCAATGCACTGGCAGAACAATCTCTTCCCATCTCCCAGCAGCGCAGCTCTATCCGCCTCGCCACCCTCAGCCTGCCGGGAAGAGCAGCAGCTAAGAAAGCAACTCTGCCTCCCGGCAGAGTACACCGTACTAGATGCTCTAGAGCACAGGAGACCGAACTAGCACAGGAGAGAAAGGAAAATCGTGCCCTCCCCAAGACGGGTTCTTTGGTGGAAGCTGTGTGGTAATAAAGAAGAGAGAGGAAAAAAGATTGAGCCCGATTTGGTGCAGTGTGGGGAGTGCAGAGACTGACTCTAGCTCCCGACCCTGCTCCACCACTTACAGACTCTACGACTTAGAACAAAATAAAGAACCTCTTGGAAGCTTTCCTTTTTATTTTCTAAAACTGTGATTTAACAGAACTATCCCACAAGTTATTAGGAGGGTGATATGAGAGACTGGATCTATAAAATTCCTGGTCCCTAACACAATAAACACTAATTCTCCTGGTCCCTCCTCTTCGAACCTTGAGACTGCCCAGGTCCAGTGACCAGGGCAAATTTAACCAACCACAGACCCCCTCTTACTCACCACCTCTGGTACTCAAGAAGCCTGCCCAGAAAAGAAAATAGAAGGGTAAAAAATGAATTCCCTGATTGTGGAAATATCTCAAGAGATCAGAAGCCAGTGGTCATCTAGGACCTCAATGACTAATGAAGACGTTGTGTTTTTAGAAAGGTTTGGTCCTTTCAGTCTAATGTAAATGAAGCTTCCAGTAGAAGCAATGTCCTCCTACTTAGACCTAGAGTCCTACCCCTCCTGCTTAATCATTTGACTTCTTCCTTCCTCACAACCTGTTTCCCTTAACTCCTCCCAAATTCACCCATTTGTCCTCCCTTTTACCACTCTACAGTCCTCATCAACTGCCTCAGTCTGATTTCTACCCCTCAATCCCCACCCCACCTTTTCTGCCAGCCAGAATGTTTTCCCTGTAAAATTCACTAATGACCTCTCTCATCTTACTACATGCTGAATCTAAATTCCTCACACTGATTTATAAAGTGTTACATGATCTTCATCCTGCTCCCTTTCATATTCTGCAACTCTACCCCAGACCCCTTCACTCCAGCCTCATTGACCTTTATTTGGTCTTCTACTGGGCTGATCTCATTCTTTTTTCTTTTTCTTTTTTTTTTTTTTTTTTAATCCCAGTACTGCAGATTGAACCCAGGGTCTTTGCACTGAACTACATTACTATCCCATTTTTTAATTTTATTTTTGAGACAGGGTCTTGTTAACTCACTAAATTGATTAGGATGAGCTTGAACTTGAGGATCTTTCTGCGTCAGCTTTCCAGAGGGCTGGGATTACAGGTATGCATCCCCTTGCCTGGTTTCATTCCTCCTTTGATGCCTTTGCACATACTTTTCCTGAAAATGTCTTCCTGCACCTATAAATAATGAGTTGCTTCTTTTAATTTAAATTTCAGTTTAAATGTCCATGACTACTCAGCCTCAAATACCCACTAATTTATTCTTCCATAAATTTATTGCTTAGTAGATAATGTAGGTCATTGAGATAATTAACACATAATATGCACCTGACTACTTCAGTTATCGAGTATTTAATTGTTCTCTAATGCACATTGGGAGCCACGTCAAGAAGTAACATCTCTTCTGATAAATACCACACATATTAATAACATCAAAATATTTTGCTTTGAAGTAAATCCAAGCTACAATCATCATATCTAATACAATACATAACTAATGTAATGCATATCTAATACATCTAACACAATACATATCTGATGCCTCTGCAGCTCTGCTTTTACATATACCTCCTGATTCTGCACAACAAAATTTCTGTGACAGAGCATTTTACCATTTAAACCTTATGTCAATGGTTCCCAACCTTTTAGGAAAAGGGACAAATTTCATGGAAGATGATTTTCCAGGGACAAGGCGGGGAATAAGGGGGCAGTGTTCAAATTAGATTCTTATAGAGCTTGCAGCCCAGATCCTTCTCACGTGCAGTTCAAAGCAGGGTTTGTTCTCCTATGAGAGTCTAATGCCATGGCCAGTCTGACAGGAGGTGGCGCTCAGCTAGTGATGTGAGTGATGGGGAGCACTGTAGAAAAATGAAGCTTTATTCACCCACTGCTCACCTCCTGCTGGGCAGCCTGGTTCCTAACCAGTCACTGACTAGTACTGGTCTGCAGCCCAGGCCTGCCTTACATGGATAGGTGTAAACCTATCTCCAGTGACCTTAAAAGTATTCTACACTTCAAAAAAAAGCTCCAAATAAGATTTTAGTCCTTCCTTCCACAATAATGTGAATGTCTCCAACAAAATATTTCCTTTCACATTTTATTCTCAGTGGGGCTGGAGATTTAGTTCACTGCCTGCTTCATAAATGCAAGGTCCTAAGTTTGATCCCTGGTGCCAAAAAAAAAATTATTCTCAGGCACAAGTCATAGCTTTTCTTTCATGTCACTTCCATTGGAAAAGTTACTCAAAAGTTCAAATCCTGCTGATGTTGGGTTTGTGTTATCATCTTCATGTAAGAAAGATACCACACCTAGCTAAGGGGTTAGGGAAAGGACTTTTGGACAATCTTGTAAGCCAAGTGTATCTTAATCATTTATATATCACAATGATTTTTTTCATCTTGAACAGAATGACTTTATAAACTGCCCAGAGGATGGCACAACAAAGACTAGACCATTTTCGTCCCAGAGAAAAATGTATGTAGAAGGAATAAAATCAAGAGAGTTTCTGTAGTCTGTGCCAGGCCTGTCAGGAGAATTTATATATACTTGCTACTTTGTAGACTCCATTAAGGAAAAAAGCCCACTTTTTGTGCCCCTAAGCTATAAATAAAAGTTATAATTGGATTTAATCTCTGCCTTACATCCCAGATCTAGAAAAGGAAAACAGGTCACCTCTCAAAAGAGAAGCAATGATCAGCAAGCCTATCAAGATTTACTGTGAACAACTGCTCCTAACCACCCTCCCGATATAGAGTAGGCCTCCACTTCTGCTCTTTGAAATAACTCAAGTAGAGAAATCTCATCAGCAGAGAACAAAGAAACTAGTGCCAGTGAGATCTACTTGTAACATACTGCTATCTCAGAAGAAAATGTAAAAGGTTGAAGAAGCTTATTACTCATGGACTTTTAAACCCATTAATTAATTTGTGAATTAACAGGAGAACAGACACTACTTTGGTTTTAGTCCAAAAAAATCCTTTAATATATAGGGGCTAGCCAGTATTACTAAATGAAAACGCTAAAGCCTTAAGATACTAAATAATGAAAGGGTCTTGGAAGAACGAGATACCTACACTATTTTGCCAACCTATCATATTTCTTTTTACATATCCCCTCCAATTTTGAATAATCTTTCCCTATAAACCATGAATAATCCTGCCCCTTTGATTTGTCACATTTCTCCAATGTCAGACTGCTTTTTTTTAATTTGGGAGGTCTGATTTTTTAAACTTTTTTATATATTCTAAAAAGTAGACATTTGTCAAGGAACAGCTCATAAAAAATTTTGCCCACTTTGTGTGTTGTCTCTTCACACTGTTGGCAGTTTTCTCTTACTGTGCAAAAGCTTTTTAATAAGAAGAGATCCCACTTGTTGATTGTTTGTGCTAGTTCACGTGCAACTGAGGTATTGTTCATGAAATCTTTTCCTACACCAACATTTTCAAGAGTTCTACTTAACCTCTCTTCCAGCTGGTTTAGAGTTTCTGTTTTAGTATTTAGATCTTAATCCATTTCAAGTTTACTTTAGTGCATGGTGAGAGATATAGTTCTAGTTTGAATCTTTGGCAAGTTGAAACCCAATTTTTCCAGCACCCTTTATTCAAGAGGCTGTCTTTCCTCCAGTGAGGGTGCTTGGGTCTTTTGTCAAAGATCAGGTGGCTGAACTTGTCTGAAGTCATTTCTGTGTATTCTAATCTGTTTCACTGGTCTTTGAGTCTGTTTCTTTGCTGATGACATGCTATTTTAATCACAGTAGCTTTGTATTATAGCTTCAAGTTGGGGATTGTCTTTGTTGCCTAGAATTGCTTTTGCTATTCTAGGTCTCTTCTTGTTCCAAATGAATTTTTGGGTTGTTTTCTCAAGGTCCATGAAGTATACTGCTGGGATTTCAATTGGGATTGCACTGAATCTATATAGCAGTTTTGGACGTATGGCCATTTTCACTATATTGGTTCTTCCTACCCAGGAGCAAGGGATAGTCTTCCATTTTCTGATATCCTCTTCAATTTCTTTTTCAGAGTGCTATAGTTTTCAGAGTAGAGTTCCTTGATTTCTTTCATTAGGTTGATTCCTAGGTATTTCTTTTTTTCTTCTTCTTCTTTTTGGATGGTATTGTGCAGGGAATTGTTTCTCTGGTTACATTTTCAGTCAGTCTGCTGTTTGTGTACAGGAAAGCTATTGATTTTTGTGTGTTGATCTGGTATCCAGCTACTTTATTGAATTTGGTTATTAAGTCTAGAAGACTTTTGGTGGAGTTCTTGGGGTCTTCTATATCGAGTATCATGTCATCTGCAAATAATAACAATCTGACTTCTTCATTTCCTATCTTTATTCCTTTTATTTCTTTCTCTTCTCTAATTTACTGTGGCTAATGTTTCCAAAACTGTATTGAACATGAGTGGTGATAGAGAACACCCTTGTCTTGTTCTGTTAGTGTGCAGGATTTCAGTTTTTCACCATTTGGTATGATATTCACTGATGGTTTTTCATAGACAGCTTTCATCAGGTTGAGATAGAGACCATCTATTCCAGTTTTTTGTAACGGTTTTGTCATGAATGCATATTGGATTTTGTCAAATGCTTTTTCTGCATCTATTGAAATAATCATATGGTTTTGTCCTTGGCTCTGTTATTATAATGTATTACATTTATTGATATGTGTATTTTGAACCATTCCTGCATCACTGGAATGAATCCCACTTGGTCAGGGTGTATTATCTTCTTGATGATATTCTATATTCTGTTTGCCAGTATCTTATTAAGGACTTTTGCATCTATGTTCATTAGTGAGATTGGCTTATAGTTCTCTTTTTTGGTTGCGTCTTTCTCTGCTTCAGGGATCAAGGTGATGCTTGCTTCCAGGAATGAATTTGGGAGTATTGCTTCCCTTTCAATTTCACTGAAGAGTTTAAACAGTAATGGCAGTAGTTGCTCTCTAAATGTCTTGTAGAATTCACCAGTGAAGCCATCAGGGCCTGGGCTTTTCTTAGTTGGTAAGTTTTTAATTACATTTTCAATTTCATTGATTGATATTGAGTTGTTTAGAATTTTTAAGTCTTCTTCACTCAACTTTGGTAATTTATACGTACCTAGGAATCTGTGCATTTCTTCTGTGTTTTCCTTCTTACTGGCGTATAGGTTGTCGAAGTAGGTATTGATGATCCTCTGGATTTCTGCTGGGTCCATTGCAAT